AGAAACAGATTGGGGTTTGGTTGGTGGAAGAAGATGCAAGACACAGTTAGGATAGTAGACATGCTTTATTCAATAGTACCCCTGGACATTAGCCAACCCCAGCTTCAGCTTCAGTCCCCAGCCAGTTCCATTTTAGCCCTTCCCTCTCAGCCTATTTCCTTCCTTCGTCCCTTTATATATACAGGCCAAACAAAGAAGTCACACTGCCAAGAGGTTACATCAATGGGCACATGCTCACAAGTTAATGTTTATGACCTTGAAAACATATCTTGCCTTGACTAACCACAACATAGTGGATTCCAGGCCCTGGCTACACTAAAAACATAACATAGCCCACCAGAAGGAAGCCTAACTATAGCCATTTTGGGGCCTGCCCGACCAACAATGTTTGTGCAGTACGTCATATCATGCTGTTGAAAGTTAATACACCTTGACATTTGGAAAAAGATGATAGAGATCAAGTTGTTAAAAATTTAAAAGAAAAATTGTCAAGTCTTAACATTAGGTTCAAAACTTTTAACTGTAAGACATGTCAAGGAAAATCTGTCTTGGCTGCTGTTTATATCATGAAGACAAGGTGAAAGGCTCCAATCTCTATTTGAGCCAAGTTTTGTGAGAGAGCTGCTAAATTGATTCATTCCAGTATGAATCTCTCCACCCTGAGTCTTCCATGACATCCTTATGACAATTTCTAACCAGTTCAGCCCTACTTTTCGAGCTTAATAACCAAGTATACAATTTTATGCTTTAAAAAAAACACTCAAAACTACATATTTATAAATACTTCCATATCAGTATCTCAGGAAAAAATCATAATAATATAGGCGTGGAGATAAATTATTTAGTGTGATGTATATACAACCAATTTTGTTTCAAGTTGGAATGATCTATTAGTATCAAACATTTACAATTTACTGTGTCTCTTAAATTTCTACTCAGAACTCAAACCACTGTCTATTTTAGTTCAGATTTGAGGGCATTAAGTCTCAGATTATTAATTAGTTCTAACTACAGTTCTGAATAAGAACCTGATATTTCAGGTCTCAACATCCAAAAAACACAGTTTAGAATAGGTCATATCTAAGTCACACATACAGATTCCATTGCTATGACACTCCCTTAATGAAAAACTTCAATGGCTTCTGTAAGTTATCAAACTAAACAACATCTCCTGGGTCTTATCCATCTAGGAAACAATAAGCTTCTGCTTATTTTGTTTTCTTTTTTTTTTCAATATTGATCAGCCAACTTTGGTTGAATACCCATCAATATCAGGAAGTAGTTCAAATAAGAAGAAGTCATAATATATAGTAAGTAAGCATAAATAGATTCAGGGGAATTGGAAAAAAATGTGGCTAACAAATTGAAAAAGAGAAACTTGGTATAATGTTGTGAAGAAAAGTGAATGACATGTTGAGAAGTTTGGGCTTTTTCTTCTAAACAATGCAAAGTCATTAAAGCTTTGGAATCAATGATTATCATGATTATATATAAATTTTATGAGAACTCAGGTGGCACAGTGGGTGACAGACAAGAAGAAGGAATAAGGAATATATAAATCATTAGGGGCTTATAGAAAAACTATGGAGCATATTTTGTACTTTTGAAAGTAAAAGAATACATATAGAGGTAAAGAGAGGTTTTGGATAGATGTAAATTCCTAATCAATAGAACCTTAATAAAGTTTGATTAAGGACAGGACAAAGCATATAAAATTTAAATTTTATATAGCATATAAAATTACAATTTTAATTCAATAAAGATGACTTATTAAGAGCTCATTTCTACTAGAAAGTAATATTAGACATCAACCAGGATAGGAAATGCAGGAGGAGCAGGTTGGCAATAAAGACTGAGCTAATAAAGGTTTGGGTGTCTTTAGGTCATCAAATAAAAGTTCTACTAAAACCAATTGGAGATACTCAGTCTCAGAAGAGTTCAAAAAAGTGATTAAAATCTCTTCAGTTTGCTGGTGAAAGGTTCTATCTATCTTAGGGAAATAGAATTTTCCAGTTCTTAGTACAGTTGATTTTCAATAAATATTTGATATGTAGCTGAATAAATGCTGTATGTCAAATTCTGGCAGAAATTTTTCATGCCTTTTATAAACTAGAGCAAATTTTTTAAAATAAGAGGGAGGGGTGAACATAGTAACTCATCTGACAAGAAAATGATTATTATATTTTACATTTGAGAAGTTATTGTCACAAAAGGATTGAGAAAGAAATCTGAAGGGACAACCATTCTGGATGACAGAAAAGTAGAAGATGGTGAAAACAGCTTTGGAAAAGAACAAGAACACCAAATGCTTCCTTCTAAGACAGGAAAAATATTTCTAAAGCTGAGATTCATAAGAGTGGAAATGCCATATCTGAACAGATACCTAATTCTTATCTCTGGCGCTAATCTTTCCTCATACTACAGTTGATCTTCTACACTCCCCAAATATTCATCTTCCTATATAAAATTACTCATATAAATCACCAAATTTTATTTGGTGACTTTATACCAAGTATATAAATCCAAATTAATCACTTAGGCATTGAAAGAATTTGCAAAAACTACCCTCATCTGTGTCCATTAGATAAATTATAAGAATAAAGAATTTGGATAATATAATAATTTATGCTTAATTAATGGAACTATCTTCAAAGTAGGACATGACATGAACTACATATTGTTTTTGAATGTTATATTCAAATCCTATTTGAACAATACAAAATACACTTAGAAATAAAAATCAGAAATAAAAAAGGAAAATAAGAAATAAGAATAGGCTCTCAGCAGAATTAATAAATGAGAAAAAATAGCAAGCAAGCAAATAATTTCACTTCATAGTTTTTTAAAGAATCAATAAAATATGAAATTGCTGACCTACATAATAAATGAAAATAAGGAAAAATGCATAAAAATTAGAAATTATAGGAAGTTTACCAAACATATTCAGCAATTATTTTATAAACCACAAGACTGTTATTTATAAATATATGCTAGTAAAAGGAAAAGCTTAATAAAATTGGCAATATAGTACTCCAGAAAATGTCATAATGAAAATTAACTCAATATTTAAGTAGAACTTCTACAAATTTCAAATTAAAATTATTTAAAAATTTTAAATATCACCTTACAGCCTAATTATTTTGCTAGTGAGATTTTTTTTCCAAAATAATCACTCCACATACATTTGCAAAGTTTCCAATGTGAATATCACCTTCTTTAATACCAAAAAATAAGTACTAAAATAAAATGAGCAAGAAAACATACTATATGTCATTCTCACTTTGGAACACCTTTCAAAATCACAAGTAAATAAAAAGGAATTCAATTAAAGTATGTAATAAAAGACCAGCTATGCAAGGATAACATACTACTAGCAAATCAATTGATCAAAGATGAAAACCAAATCATAAGAATAAAATGTATGTATTTATATAGTTCAAGATTTCTAGAACATCCACAGGCATATTTGATAATTTATTTTATAAAGAACAGGGTAACAGAAAAAGAGTAAGAATCATACAAATAGTCAATGCAATACTTAAATGACAATCATCTAAGTCATTCCTAATAATTAGGAAGAAAAAAGGTTTATTCACAGTCATTTTATGTTGATCTGAAAGCCATCATCAAGGCAATAAGTATTGAACTTAAAGTTTAAAATCATGAGAGTGAAAAGGAAAAGATAAAATAGTCTCTAAAATTTTCTATTGGCAAATAATATGGTTTTCTACCCAGAAACACAAAAGAACCATCTGAAGAATAACCAAAATGAATAAAAACCTAAATGAAATGTTAAGATTAAAAAATTGCACAAATTAGTATTATTTTTCTGATTTCACACACAAAAAACAATTTGAATGTAGTAAATAATTTTGCAATATCTAACACTTATGGGCTAGGCCCTGTTATAAGCACTTTACCCATATCAATTCAGTTAATCCTCAAGGCAACCCTGTCAGCCAGGTATGCCTTATTAGCTCTTGCAGATGAGAAAGGAAAGGCAAAGGATTTGGCCAAAGTCATACAGAAAACAAGTGGCAGCCAACTGCATAGTTAGTGTGAGACAGAGGAGGTGAACACACATTTTACATCATCGTCAATCTAATTTCTTAAATTCCTATACTAGACTGTATTTTTTATATTGAAAATATTCAGCAATATGTATATAAAGGGTTAACTAGTTATGCCAAGTTTGGAGAATAATGATATTTTATTCCTGTTTATATCCATTCATTGGGAACATGATAAGTAATAAGAAAAATGTAATAAATGTAATTTTGAAGCTCTTTGCTTGGGTCATGAACTTAGAGAAAAATCAGTGTGTTAGATACTTCCCTTTTATTCAACAGCATTAAAGGACTTCACATCCATTTTGTTGATACCGGGACTGTCACAAATTTAAGCAGGAAGTTTCAAGGGTGATAGTACTCAGTTACTGCCAAGTGATTATACACAAGAATAAAAATGATTTAGCCGTTTCTACCTCAAAACTGAAGAAAGAAACTCTTAATGAAGATGATTGCCAAAGTAAAATTGAATCAGTTTACCAAAGTATGAAATGTATGAGGGTACTGAATTTGATAACATTTAAAACATAGATAATTACATATCTGTTAAAGCCCATCAGATAGGATTTTATAATTTTCGCATAAGAAAAAAAATCACACAATTATCTGGTGAGAGAACTCCATATGTAAATTTTTACATATAATCCTTCCTACAAAATGCTTGCTAAATATATTTGCTGGTAGCAGATAAGTTAATTTTGCAACACATCAGAGGAAAGTGATAAATAATTCACAGGATTACATGTGATAGATTCACCTTTTAGGGTAATAATTTAATAAGTAAAAAGAAAATCTAGTGATTCCATTTTTTCTTATAAAAAGAACTGAAACATAAATGAGGACCAGTAATTCAGTTTTCTTGTTTCAGTTCTCAGAAAGATGCATTAACTACTAATAAACAAATAGGGTGAAATTATAAGTAGTTCCACTCACCATTTGAAGAGAATGCTTGGAATTTCATGTGGACTATTATCCCAGTAAAGTTCCTGAAGATCTAAAATATGAGTATGATTGAAGGGGATTAATAGAACATACTTTATATACAATTTTGCAATATGTTAATTCCATATGATCTTTATCTTATACTTATTCCAGACTTTCATGAACGTACATTCAGACTCATGATTTTCATTTAATACAAATATCATTTAAACTCAGGAAGTAACATATCTTCTATTTATTCACACACTACCTTTAGTGCTAGAAGCTCCCCTCCAGCTTGCCTACCATCAACCTCAACCCTGACCTGCAGGAACCACACTGTGCAGTTAAAAGAAATAATCCACTCTGAACTCTGACTGATACTTCTCTTAAACCAAATCAAGAAACTGCACCACCGGGTTCTTATTTTTTAATGGTACTTGGAAAACTTTTTGTGGGAAAATTGCTTTATAATATTTCCATGTGATACGAGGGGATTTATATCCTAAAATTGTTTCAGTCCACATACTAGGGAACCTAATTTATAAGTTTAGCAATTATATAACCTATGGAAGTATATTTATTCGCATGTAATGATTATGTTTATTTCATATTATAATAATAGTATAAGTACCAAATGCTTTTATAAAACCATTTTTTAAAAATCCTATTTTTTTTTTAAAGATGAGGAAAAAAAAGTTCAAGGAAAGAGATATGAGGCAGCTAAGATTTTAGCTTAGAAGCAGTTCTGTGACCAGATGCAAAGTCTCAGGCTTCAGCTCTTGCTTTTTCCAGGGGATCATTTTAAAGCACAGTGTCGAAGTTCTGATTCTTACCAGGCATTGACTGGAGCACTGGGGATTCATCAGGAAACAAGAGATAAAGAGCCTGGTTTCATGAAGCTTAATTCTAATGAACTTGGTTCATGAAAATATTGAATATATTTTTCATCAGTATAATTAATATGCATGATAATTTAACCAAGACACCAAGATTTCAGAATGCAATTGTAGGATGAGGGAAGCCTGGTTTTCAATGACTCTCCTTTCTTTAACACACACTTGGCCCACAAAGTGCTAAATTAACATTTAAATATCTTTGACCTGTAGATGAACATTTTGTGCAAAGATGACACTTTCAAAAATTGAAAGAAACAATTATTTTTCCATTGAATGCTTTAAAAGGACTCTTATATTTGCTTACTGATTTGAATCTGTGTCAACTTCCAGGCTCAGTGTGAAGCTTAGGAACATGCTGTAGAGATTAAAAGTTCACATGTACAAATGAGTAAATAGATTCCACATGGAAGAGCAAAATGAAGACCTTGAGATAGACCCATTCTGCAAATCATTTCTTAACTACTGTTCCACATTTGGCAGAGTTTGCAAAATACAATGAGATGGTTTAAAATTAAAAGATTGAATTTCTGTACTACTAGAACATATTTCTTTCCTCATTTTTATGCCTCCTACCAAATAAGATATAACTACATTGTTCTTTAGTTGCATTACATTCATGACTTTGGAAATATCACTTTAGAATGATTTTCACATGAGGCAATTGAGATTTTTTCTGCATTAAAAAAAAATATGAGCTGAAGTCTTGAAGACTAAAGCCCAAAACAATGCACTAAACATAAGGCTAGATTGCCAAGTCCTATCTAAAATTATAGTTTTATCTATAATTATAATGATTAAAATAAAGACATGTAGAATGTTACTAAGTATAATGTGATTATTGGTTAGATTTCTTGTGAGAGGTGGTCCAAAGTTTGTGAATTTTGATACTGTCTCAATAAAATTAGGTATACCTCTGTTTTAGCAGTCAATTTCCAGATCCCTATAAACTCTCTGAGTATGACATTCAGCAAACTGAATTTGTGACTAGATTTTACCAAGAAGAGTCAGTTTTTAGACTAGATCCATCAGGGAAGGCCTGTTGTTGCTTCATCAGAAAGAGGTAATTAACTCAGCACTTGACCCATGGTCGCATACTGGTTATCCATAGAACTAAATCTGGAGAATGCCCCTTAACTAATGAAATTAATTAAGAATCTTTTCTGTGTCATAGTTAAGTTAGAAAGTGTTTCATTCTTTTTGTCTCATATATGTGGGACATAAAAGCATTTTTGACAGATGTCATAAAAATGCAAATATATATATATATACTAATTGTTAAATGTTACTATGCATATATGTATTTTGCTATATGAAACATTCATTAGAAATGTTTGAACTTGAAATATATGTTTTCTGTTTCTACTTATCAACTTCATTATATAAAGACACTATCTGTATCATCTTCTCAAAAGTATGACATTAAGAAATCATAACTAATCATATCACCAAGATTTGTACCCATTGTCTTTAGTCACTTTTATCCTACTTCATTGGAAAAAAATTTTGTCCAGTAGATGAGACATACTACAGGTTTTTATCAACTACCTACTACATCTAGAATCAAATTTAACCCATTCTAAAGAAACACTCAGAACATATTGTCTTATGATCCTGTTTTTAACCACTGCAATTATATAAATCTTGGTTGTGAGATTTGGGTTTTTAAAAAATATCAAATATTGATATGTCCCTTTCTCATTCTATTTTTTTACTTTTCAATTTTACTCTGATTCATTTCCATGAAATGTCAAACATGGTATTTTAATAGAGTGTGTGTGTGTGTGTGTGTGTGTGTGTGTGTGTGTG